TATTCTCTAGAATTTACTGTAGAGGAAACAAGGAGGAGAGAGAACTTCTATGGAAAGAATTACATATTTGTAAAAAGAAATGGGGGTGCCACTGGGTGGTTGGTAGCGATTTCAATATAATTATGAAAAGAGATGAGAGGAGCAGTGGTAACTTTGAGTCTCATACTGCAATGGAGTTTGTTGAAGCGGTGGAGGAGCTTGATTTGGCTGATATTTTGCTGTTGGGTGGGCAATGGACTTGGACAAATCAAAGGGTTAATCCTTCCTGTTCCAGAATTGATAGATTCCTCATTTCTTCTTCTATTCTTCTTCAGTTTTCGGGAATTACACAGACCTTGCTTCAACAGACTATATCTGATCACTACCCTATTTGTCTCGCCTTTGATGGTATCCAGTGGGGTCCGGTTCCCTTCAGACTGGATAATAGGTGGGTGCATGAAGCAAAATTCAGGGCTCTGGTGGAGGAGAAATGGAAGGGTTATGAGGTATCAGGTACTGCTTCTTTTAGAATCGTGCACAAACTGAAAATGCTTAAAAATGACATTAAAAAGTGGACAAAAGAGGAATTGAGAAAAGAGGAATATATGGGCAGTCTGCTGAAGGAATTAGGGGACTTGGATGATAAAGAAGGTAGTGGAGGTCTGGATGTAAAAGAATTAAGTAGACGGGATGAAATTAAAGTGTTCTTTGCCAAACAGGACAGAATTGAAGAACAAACATGGAGACAGAAATCTAGGAAGAAATGGCTAAAAGAGGGTGATAGGAACAATAAATATTTTCGTGCTTCAGCTAGCCACCGAAGACGCAGCAATTACATTGAGGAGTTGTGGGTAAAGGGTGCGAAATACAGTGGTAATGACAAAATGAGAGAGGCTGCCACGCCTTACTTCAAAGAGTTATATGATGAAGAGTTCAAGATTCGGCCGAGACTTGACAGTCTAACTTTCAAGAGTATTTGCGTGGATAGCAGGAAAAACATTGAGGCTGTTTTCTCTGAGGAAGAGGTACTTGCTGCCTTAAAAAGTTGCAATGGTGACAAGGCACCGGGACCGGATGGTTTTAATATGAATTTCATCCAAGCTTTTTGGGACGTGATTAAAGATGATATCATGGAAGTACTAATGAATTCCGTCAAAATGGAAAATTTGTTAGGTCCCTTAATGCCACTTTCCTGGTGATGATTGCCAAAAAGAAGGGGACAAAGCATGTTAATGATTTTCGACATATAAGCTTGGTGGGGTGCATTTATAAAATTATTGCAAAAGTACTTGCAGCCAGGCTTGCTAGTGTTTTGGGTGAGGTAATTAATGAATGCCAACATGCGTTTGCGGAAGGGAGACAAATTCAAGATGCAATACTTGTGGCAAATGAGGTAGTGGATGAGCTGGTCATGAATAATATTGATGGCCTGATCTGCAAATTGGATATGGAAAAGGCATATGATCATGTCTGTTGGGATTTTGTCGACTACATGTTGGGAAGGTTGGGTTTTGGGCATAAATGGAGAATATGGATGAAAGCGTGTTTGTGTACCACATCTTTTGCGATCTTAATTAATGGAGGACCTTCCAAATTATCTTGGGGGTCTAGGGGCTTAAGACAAGGGGATCCACTTTCCCCTCTCTTGTTCATTGTTGTCATGGAGGTTTTAAATGGACTGATGTATAAGGCTCGTGATCTTGGTTTGATTAGAGGGATGACTGTTGGTAGAGGGGACAACAAAATGGAGATCTCACATTTGTTTTTTGCTGATGACACACTCTGTTTTGCCAACCGGAATAGAGAGGTCTGTTGTATCTCAAGAGCTTTCTCTTGTGTTTCCAAGGGGTGTCGGGCCTTAATATTAATCTCCAAAAATCTGAACTTGTTAGGGTGGGGAACAACAGTGAAGGCGACTGTTTTGCCGAAATATTGGATTGTAAGCCTGCCAAGCTGCCTCTCAAATATCTCGGGGTCCCACTGGGAGCTAAATTCAAAGATAAACTACCTTGGGATCCCGTAGTAAAAATGTTTGAATCGAGACTAGCGGGATGGAAAAGACAGTTTCTATCAAAAGGTGGTAGACTTACTCTTATAATGAGTACTCTTGCTAATCTTCCCATCTACTACCTGTCTATTCTTACCATTCCATGTAGCATTGCTAAAAGGCTAGAAAACATTCAAAGCCGCTTCCTTTGGGGTGATGGAGAAGAAAAAAGAAAATATCACTTGGAAAACTGGTTTGAAATTAAGAAACCGAAAACAGAGGGAGGTTTGGGTATTCGCTCTCTTGTTGAAATGAATATGGCGCTTAAAGATAAGTGGTTATGGAGGTACATGAAGGATGATGGAAAGTTTTGGAAAAAGGTTGGAAAAAGGTTATCGATGCTAGGCGGAGTGGGGCTGCTCTTGAAGGGGTAGGGAGATTAGACAGAAGGGGCCATGGTCTGGGTCTGTGGAAAAACATAACGGAGTGACCTATTTTCAAAGAATATATCAAGTGGCAGTTAGGCAGAGGCAATATCATCAGATCTTGGTAAGATAAATGGTTGGATGGGGACTGCCTTAAAGATAGATTCCCAAGTCTGTATGCAATTGCACAGGATAAACATATGCAAGTTGAGGATGCGTATTCTTGGGCGAATGGCAGCTGCTCTTGGTCGATTAATGTTAAACGTAATCTGAATGACTAGGAAGTTGGGGATTATCTTAAGTTATTGGGTTTGATTGCACAATACCAAATCAATGATAAATCAAACCATGCTATTTGGAGGCTGAACAAAAAGGAAGAGTTCTCTGTGTCTTCATATTATAAATGGATTATTGATAAGGATCCCAGTAGAGGGTATGCTTTCCCTCACAATCTGATTTGGAAAGCCAATCTTCCTCCGAGAATTGCTTTTTTTTGGCTGGGAGGCTTGCCGGGAATGCATTCTGACTCTTGACAGATTACAGAAAAGGGGTTTAAGCCTGGCAAATCGCTGTTTTATGTGCAGGGAGGCAGAAGAGTCTTGCTGCCACCTCCTCCTTAGCTGCCCGGTGGTGTATGAGTTGTGGTGTATGATTTACAACTTACTGGGTATTGCTTGGGTCTCTTCAGGTTCGGCGATGACAGAAGTTTGGGCATGGGGTGGGATTCACTCCACAAAGAATATTGTAAAGATTATTCCTCTTACTATTTTTTGGGTCATTTGGAAAAAAGAAATTATAGAGCTTTTGAGAGTAGAAGTTTATAGATACAAACTTAGAGATAAGTGGTTTATGTATTTTGGGTCTTGTATATTGGGGCATGACATTACTAGGGATGAAGATTTTGAGGATGTCATTGATACCCTTACGTCTCTATAAATTCCTTTGTATACGAGCGGTACCCCCTCTGGTGTCATTTTAATTTTATTCTAACTTTTTCTTTCAAAAAAAAAAACTATTATTGGAAAAAAAAGTAATAAGATTCTCAATGTTGCACATTTTGAGTAGGTTAAAAAAAGTCGAGATTAAAGAGTACTTCAATGCAAAAATGATACAACAAAGGACGAAACCAACAGAATATTTAGCAGATTAATGGGTACAGAAACTTCACCAAAAACAAGCAGCGGGAAAGGATCAAGTGGTACATAAGGCATGCAAAATATTAGCATTTCCTTGGCCTCAACCACTTGACGGAAATCAGATAACAGCAAAGCATTAAATTCTACCCAAAAAAAAAAAAGAAGCCTCAACCATTTGACTAAAACCAGACAGCTCCATAGTTGAAGACTGTCTGCCTCCTGAATAATCAACTAAGATCAGGCGTGTCTAAGACGTTATCCTGACGCAAAATAATTCATGTTCATTTTCATGTCTGGCTCCTGAAAAATCAACTAAAGAACACACCTGGGCAGTGGGAGAGGCATTTCCAGGCTTTCCTTGTGAAGAAGCTCTCCTTGCCTCCTTTAAGTAAGATTTAAGTAAAGGCACAGGTGAGAATTGCTCTGTGAGCTCAAATGCAAAAGCTAGGTTAACTGCATCAATTTGCCTTCCACCATTTACAAGAACTTCAATTACACCTGAAGTAATGACATGAAAAGGAGAAAGAGAAAAAAAATTATGAAAGTTTAGGGAAAAAATATGACAGACTGAATAGGAAGCATTTGACTTTCTCAACAACCAAATCTTATAAGTTCGACCTACCACTTGCTTTAAGAGGCTCGATAAATTTTTCCAGAAAAATCCTAAAATGCCAACATCAAACTTCACAAGGATGATGTAACTAGTGATGCTGCAAGACTTTATGCTTATAATTTGGCTACTTCCTGCTTTAACAGTATTACTAGTGAATGATCGGATCATCCGACATTATCAATGCATCTATCCAACAAAAAGAGAAACCACACCTGTAACATGCATCTCCCATAAAAACCATGGAATCAATGTCAAGTTTAATGATGATCCTAACCAAATGCTGCAAGAGTTTAAATTCACAATATGGTTGCTATAGCAAAATGATAGGTAGATGAATGGAGGATTCTATTCTGGAATTTTCTTGATTGAACAACTCAGCAACTTTAGGAATGTGAACTTGTCATATCTTAGGTGTGAATCCAAGACCAATCTTCACACTAACTCATGAAGCAGTAATTCTCTCACGAGTTTCTCATGGAAGAAGCTAAAGAATGATGAGCTAAGTGAAAAACATTGCAGTAGATGGAGCCTCAATCATGCATAGTGTTTAGGTCAGTGTAGCTTCTCCGGCAAAAATCAGTAACTTACCTGAATGACAAAGAAATTCTAATCCATGTCAGACATTAAAATAAATAGCTTAACCAACCTGGCATTTTTTCTGACAGCCCAAGAGAGCGACACAAATCAGCTGTTTGCCGACGACGAGAGACCATTGGAATTAACCTGGAAAGTTGTTCCTCGTCAAAATCAGAAGCAATTTGGAATGTGTCCAGGAGTTGCAAAAATGCATGAGCCTCCAAAGAGTTCCCATTGCTAGCTTCCATGTCTAGAGCTTCCAACTTAGGCTTCCATTCCTCAGCAATTGCCTTTGCCCTCCGCTTAATTTCTTCTGAGATTACAGCGACAACAGAAGCCCGATCCAGACTCATTAATAAAATGCTCAGGCACTCCATCAGCATTATACAGGTTCGGCGGAGCCCCAAAAGGTTCGCATCTTTCTTTCCATCAACATTTGGCAGTTCCATGTGGTAAAACCCTTCAAGAGAGTCCAATACTATGCCGGCTGGACTGGCTGCAGCCTTTAAAGCAAATGGGATTTCTTCTTTTAAGGCAGCCAGGTTCTTACGGTTCTCTGATATAAATTTGTGCAGTCCATCTGAGTCCATCTCTATGCACAGTTTCACTAACTGGGGATAAGATCTCACTTCCAAATTTTCATCCTCGGGGGAGGTTTTAATATATTCCACAGTACATTCAACAGTGACAGAATCAAGAGCATCCTCTTCAGCAGTCGGGGTCCCATTGTCACCGTTAGAGGTAACAACATCAGGCTCCAGAGATGATACCTTCCCCTGCTTCTCTAAGGCACTGGTAATGACAGAAACAGCAGCATCTCTCTTCTCTTGAAGCCTCTCCAAAGAAGCTTGTTCCTTGGCTACAACAGCTGCTTCCCGGTTTTCTAACATTTCCCGGGCTTTCCTTGTTTTGCTTTCATACTCCTTTTCTTGATCTTCCAATTCATGAAATCGTCTCTTCAAGGACTTCTCCAGCCCATGGAAATGTTCCTCAAGTTCTTTCCATTTCAGATTAAGTGTTATGGCACGGTGGCTTTCAAGTTCAGCAAATGCTTTCTGAAGCTCTTGGATCTTAGAGGTTGTAGAGTCTATGAGTGTGGCCACTGATCTAGTATCTTCCATTGCAGAAAGCTGAAAGAAATACAGCAAGAGAACATAGTGAAAAATAAGTTAGCTATGCCAATGCACTGCCTTCAAGGTGTACTAAAGATGGACACAGAAGTAGCAACAGATTATAATCCAAAAGCAAGAGCAGCCCAACATAAGCAATTATTCTTTCCAAATTCTTCAATTTGAAGATAAAAGACCAGATAACAAGTCCACCAAGAAGATATAACATTCCACAGTAAATGTACAAAAGCATAATTAAACACCAACATGAAAGTAAACCGTGAGTAAATATATTGGAGATCTCTAAACCATAACATAGCCAGAGCCAACATTTCACAATAGCTTCTGTACTCAAAAAGGATAATGCTCAGGCAGACAGAGAGAGTCAAACACAATAAAAGCAATCAGCCTGAGTATGATCAAGTTATTTCAGCATACCCAAGAGGCACCCAGATAATAAGAAAAAATTGTTGGAAGCTAATAACAAATTTTCTAATGAGGAATTCCGTATCTTATAATCATTCATAATACACATGAACAAGAGCAGAAATCAATAGAGGAATGTCAAAATGCGACTGGTTATCTTATTAGGTTCAACTAATTCCAACCTAGAATGGAAGTTGCAGAACAAAGTATTAATAACAACTTCAGGAGATAGAAATCAAAGCCTCTATCAATCATTACTATGATAATATGGAAAGAAATAATCCCTGTAGGAGTAATCCTATTAATTTTTGGCAAAAATTATCCTATTTACCAGAGAACACAGGTGAAGATAAAATGAAGATAATCTTACTGTCTATTGTAAACATCAAATGGAGAAAAGAATTCAAACAAAAACATAAAAGACGCTCAAGAAAGACTTTTGTACTTTCTTACTGTCTGAATATCAAATTCAAACCCCTCAGAAGCTATCTATTCTTTTCCAAAAAAATCAAATTATCCTCCAAGAATTGCTTTCTTTGCATGGGAGGCGTGCTGGGAAAGAATTCTAAATCTGGACAGATTGAAAAACATAGGCAGGATCATTGTTAACAGATGCTACTGCTGTCTAAAGGCTGAGGAGACGTGTAACCATCTACTTTTGTGGTGTCCTACTGCTTATAGCTTATGATGTAAGTTCTATGGTTTATTAGGGATTAATTGGGTTATCTCGGGTTCGGTCGGGAAGGAGATTTGGGTTTGGGATGGTTTCTATGTAAAAAGAAATATGACAAATATTATTTCTTTGACTGTTTTTTGGATTATTTGGAAAGAGAAGAACAGGAGAACTTTGGATAGTGTTGAGAGTAATACTAATAACTAATAGATAGGTGGATACATTTATTTGGGTCAATTATGGTAAGTCATGATATCACTAGTGATATGGATTTTGGAGATGTCATTAACACTTTAAATTTTATGTAAATGCTTTTGTACACAGCCGGTACTCCCATTCCTTTGGTACCATGTTAATACATACTTCACATTTTTTATATAAAAAAAAAAATTATTTCCTTACGAAAAAAAAAATTCCATCTGGCATAAGATTTTATTTTTGAGAAGGAAAAGTACAATATATTCAAAGAGCACCAAAGGAGTGCACAACGTACAAAAAAGTATTTACAACTCAAGCAAAATGCCTAGAAGGTCTCTGAGGTCCTCGCCACTATATAGTTATTGACCCCTAATAAAAAAACCTTAGGGCATTGAACCATGAATCTTTAAATCTATCAAAATTATATTCTATACCCTTAAAAACTCTCCTATTTCTCTTGTTCCACATTGCCTAAAAGGTCCATTCCACATAAGAGGAATGGCACCTTCAAGGACATTCCAAATCTTCCCAGATATTTAGCTGGACCCAGCTGCTGATAAGCAACAAATGACAATTTTTTTTAGAAGAAAAAGTTGCATTCTATTTTCGTAGTAAGCCACAATGACATAATAGATTACTACAATGTCAGTTTACTTCCTATCAAACTGTCTTATCAATTATCTATCATTCTGTCTTATTAGTTACCAGAGCAAGCTTGCATGCATTACAAAAGCACATCTGCTTGAATATTTTAACAGAGTTACCATTTGTAACCGTGTGAATTGTTTCCAGCAACAAAATCGCACAAAATATGATATGCATGTTCATCATTAATTATTGCAAGACAAACGAAAATAACTACGAATTTTGAATAACTTAATCAGCAGCATAAAATCATAACGGTTTTCTAGACATTAAGACCCACAACCCCAAACTTGGCTTCAGCTTGGCTCGTACAGTGACTTACTCACTAATACGAAGTACATCCTCCAGAAAACAAACACCAGCTTAATATATCAATTTTGAAACTCGAAGTGATAGGAAAAACGCTCAACAAGAATAAGTAATCTCCGTTTGAGCATGGTAAAGACATGAGCTTACCAATAATTTGCCAAGTTTCTGAGCTAAGACCGCAAGAACTGTGTAAGAGAAATACTGACACCCTAAATATAAAAATAAAAACAAAACAAAAAAACTATAAATGATCAGAAAAAAAAAAACCAAAAAATAACAAAGATTAAAGGCAAATCACTAATTACTGATCTCGAACCACAAGAGACAACCCCACAAATACATAAGTGAATTTCTCGTAAAACATTATCCACAGTAGCTCAGCTTAGTAGAAAGTTCAATTAAGCTCCATTACCGAAATTTCACATCGTAATCATGAAATGAAGCTACCTTTCGAAGAAACAACCAAACCCGATCTAGAGAACAGTAAGAAACACGAAAGAAATGAGATAATTAACTGACCGAAAAAAGAGAGTTACCTGATCGATAGAGTTGAAACTGCTCAGAGAATCGAGTGAATTCGCTGAAAACACTTATCAATCCATGTTGTGGAGTTGAGATTGGGAGTTTCGTGGTTTTGGTACTCAGCAATCCCTAGAGTAAAGAGAGAGAGAGAGGGAGAAAGAGGAAAGTTGAGGGAGGCAAAAGCGAGTGTTTTATGACAGGCACTCTGTTTTTTGCTTTTTATGGGGCAGTCCATTTCTTTCTACTTGACGCTTGAGTATGGTGTCTGCGCTTCGTTCAGTGGTTGGTGTCCGGAGGGCTTTCAGTAAAAACAGACGTGCTCGGAATACTTCCACTACATGGGCCTTCAGGAAAAGCCCAAACCCAAGTTGATCTTTTCTGTCTCAAACACCTACGCCCTCGTTACAGGTGTTGCGAATGCCCGGCAGGATTCGGGCAACACCGACCCTTAACCCGATTATTTTGATCTGAAGTCTCGACTTTTAACCAAGCTTAAAAAAAAGGCTTTGGAAAAATAATAGCATCCTAAATTTATTTAAATTTTTATGCAATTTTTAAAAATAAAAAGGTGTCCTTCATATATTAATTTTTATTTCAAAATAAAATTATTTAAGCAGTCTCGTTGATATTTTGTTGAAAATTTGATGGTCTCACCGTTTAAAAATAATTTTATTAAAAATATATTATTCTAATTTGTCAACATATTATAATAATGTTAAAAAATATAAAGCATAAAATTAAAATATTTATAATTAATATTATTAACTCAATTTTATAATAAAATTATTTTTTATAGACAAAAAAATTATTCACATGCAGAAGAATATTAATAGTTTATTTTTTTTATTTAGCCTTTTGAAAACGTTTAGATTATATAGAGTAATTAAAGTATTTATAAAGTTTTTTTACAAATATATATATATTTAATTTTATTATAAAATAGTAGGAGTCTAATTTAACTTTAATTTTAATTTTATAAGAATAATTGTACCCTTGATGAAGATAATTCATTTTTATTTTATACAACTAAAACTATATTGTTTTAATTTTCTTAATATTATTTCACAAATATCTATTTGGAGTGGGTTGATGTGGGTTAGTATGTAACATGGCTCTACCCTCAACCTTATCATATGTACCATTTAGTGCCTTAAAAAATTTAAGATATTTTTTTCGTTAGGTATTTATGTTATGTATATTTAATTTAAGTAGATTTATTATTTGTGATGACTTTTTAATGATATTATTAAACTGCTCGTATATCTCATTAAATAAATGTCTAAAATATTAAAATTTTGTTGTTTGTAAATTTTTTATCATCAAACTAAGTAAACTTTATTATAGTTAATATATTATTAGATATTTAAATATACATGATAAATTAAGTAACATATATAATGTAAATAAATGATTTTATCATTACAGATTATGTAAATGTAATACATTCCGTAAGATTGAAATAATTTATTTTAGTTTTTAATTTTTTTTGTAAATATTTATTATTTTACATTAATAGTATATTTGTCAATAACAACTTCATTCAGAGTTAATCTTTAGATATTAACAACGGTCATAATAAATTTTAAACAAAAATAATTTTAATTTTTTTTGTAATTTAGTAAATAGAAAAATTAAGGTTTAAATTACATTTACTATATGACCTAATCTCATAATTATGTATAAAGAAATTAAACCATTAGTATAGAAAAAATGTGCAAATTTTACTTCCATTATACGAAAGAAAAAAAATATATACTTTATGTATTATCTATATATTTGTCATCAATTAGATGAATCAATAATATTATTTAAAAAAATAAATATAAAAAAAAATACGAAAAGCTCAACAAGTGTGGTAAGAAAATTAAATTATCATATGTTTTGTTCTCGTATATTTATAATTAATTTTACCATAATTCTCCTCTAAAATTATTTTTGGGAGCTATGTATCATTTTTTAGTTATTTTATAAAACATGTATGAATAACTTTATATGTGAATAGTTTATAACAAAGTTTGGTTAAAAAATATGTAAAATATTAGAAATCATATTCTATACAATTTTATTAAATATAAAGTATAGAAATAATTTATTTATTCCAATATATTACAAAAAAATTATTAAATTTACCGTAAAGAAAAGTTTTAAGGATAAAAGTTAAATCTAAACGACATGTAAACATTTTCTTTCGCGGATATTTTTCTCGAGAAAAAGAAAAAGAAAATAAAAAGCAAATACACAGTGAGAGCGGGAGATTTCAGCTTAAGATTGGCACGACATGGACGGCATTGAAGTCACAATTTCATCAAACTGTGTGTTTTTCAAAGGTAATCGAACAAACTCCTTTCTCAACAATTAAAATATGAATTTCACTTTCTCCCCTCCAAAAAGCCAGTCAAGCAACTACTCAAAAAGTCCCCTGCCCTCTTACATATTGCAGTCTAGTCGTCGTCCCCTAATTCTGGCCTCTTCATTTGACTTACTCTAATTCGTCTTCCTTCCATGTGAATCTCGGATTCACACATGAACCCCTAATCCTTTTACATTCCTTTTCTTTAGCTTCTCCCCGTATTAAATTAAGTCTTGGATTTTCAAAGCACTACGCAGACTTTGCTTTTTCACTGCGGTTTCCGTTTCCCTCTGTAAAAAAACTGGAAAAGGGGAAAAACAGTCATCCTTCCTCGTCCTTTCACTATCCATTTTGCGGGGATTTTTTTTTTTTATTTTTTTATTTTTACCTTCTTCTCTTTTTTAAGGAGGAGCTCGTGATTCATCAGGTAGGTCTTTGAATTCCATGCTTGATTACTTTTGTTGATTGGTGTCCGAGTCAATTCATCACAGATTATCTGTTGTGTTAGATTTTTCTCTTCTTGATTGATTGCTACTTGTGGGTTTTATTGGTTTTTCTTAAGTTTTAATTTATTCAGGGCTTTGAATTTGATTATTTTCTTTATCGTATCTGTTTGAATTTGGCTTCAGGATTTGATGTTATGAGGACCATACTTCAGCGCTTTTGCTCTTCTTTGTTAGTTAGGGAGCAACTGATTTTTCTACCTTCATTTC